TTTTTATCTATTTACCAATAAATTCATCTCTTTAATTCAAAAAAAAAAAAAAAAGGTTAGGTTTATGGGCCAGCGCTGCGGCTCACTAGGCTAATCCTCCGCCTTGCAGCGCCGGCACACAGGGTTCTAGTCCCGGTCGGGGCGCTGGATTCTGTCCCGGTTGCCCCTCTTCCAGGACAGCTCTCTGCTGTGGCCAGGGAGTGCAGTGGAGGATGGCCCAAGTGCTTGGGCCCTGCACCCCATGGGACACCCAGGATAAGTACCTGGCTCCTGCCACCGGATCAGCGTGGTGTGCCAGTTGCAGCATGCCAGCCACGGCGGCCATTGGAGGGTGAACCAACAGCAAAAGGAAGGCCTTTCTCTCTCTCTCTCTCACTGTCCACTCTGCCTGTCAAAAATAAATAAATAAATAAATAAATAAAAATAAAAAAAAGTTAGGTTTATTTCAGTGCAAACATTTTAAAATCCATGGATAGTATTTTTCTCAAAATATGTGTTTCCATGAACTTTTTGAAGACCCTGATATGCATGGTTTGCAAAAGTTTTTTAGTAAAATAAACTTATCTTTTAATTCTATTTTCCATGAAAATTTTAGGTACGCTTGTATTTTGGGTTTTGTCACTTCTGTTTCCACATTTATAAAAGGAAAAAAAAAATGGCCTTTTTTAGAACCTGGTAAAGTCATTCTACCATTTAAAAGCAAGTGTATGCAAGTTGTGTAGGGCTCAGATGCACTTTTTCCTTGATGTGTAGTCTTATCCACTAATGTGTTTATTCCCAAACAGTGTGTAGAATCATTGGGTAGTTGTTCTTGTCAAAAACAAAAAAAAAAAATGAGCAAACAAAAAAGCTTCCTTAGCCTCATGTACAGATGTGCAGATTCAGTAAATTTGCAGAATATCTATGAATCTGTATTTTAAATAAAGCTTCCAGAGGATGCAAGTGCATTGAAAAACATGATAAAGGCAATTTAGCCCACAGTGGACTGATACATGAAGCATTTAGGATGAAAAATAGTAAAAGGAAAGCCCTGCACTAAGGGAAAATAACATTTAAAATTGATTTACAAAATTTTTTTAGAGTATTGGTGTACAACAAAAGGTAAATTTAATCAGAATAGGTTAAAGAGGTGATTCTTGCACCTGTTGTGTGGATTGAAGGAAGTGGGGCCCAGAGATAGAGTTTGGGTGAATTGCCCAAGGGTCTGTAGATAAACTGAGAAGGAGCTGGAGTTATATAAAGTTAGTCTGAATCCTCATCATTAATTGAATATGCGCTTGGCCAGGAGGAACAAGTTCAATGTGGCAGAATATAAAGGATGGTGTGACATGACATTGTCTGAATCTCACTAAGGGGATGTGAACGGATATAGAACAGGAAATAGAACAAATGTCCAGTTGGAGAAGGAACAACCCACCCCTTCTTTCTGCAGACACCCCAAGGTGTTACCAGTGATTCTCTTAGAGACCCTACCTCCACTCCCACCTCTCTGAGAGGCCAACCCTGCTCGGGCCTCTCTGCATATTGGCTGAGTGTGGGAACGGCCTGGGAGATGGAGCTTGATGGAAGGCTGGCTCTGAACTGGCATCTCTGAGTGAGCCCCTCTAAGAGGTGGCTCCCTCCAGCTTCAAGTTATCTCTTGGTCATGGAAGGAAGAGGGGGACATTTAGGGTAGTTGGATTTCTGCTTTGAGGTCTTAGTTCCAGTTGTGGGATGATACGAAAAACAAATCTCACTTGATAATGCATCACAAAAGTATTTTTCTTTTGGTACAGCGTCTGGCCTTCCATAAGCACTGGCTCTTATAATGTTGATTGTAGCCTTGCCACCGAGAAGATGGCATCATTCTGAGGATGGACTGCAGAGGGAAAGGATACTGTTCTGCTCTTTGATGAGCAGCTCCGTCTCCTCTGAGGGGCTGCTTTTGGCTTCCCTGGTGCTACATTTTAGAGGGGGTTAGATTATCTCCAGATGAAAGCGAAATCATTCGTATTTTTGCTATATGAAAAGTGGTGAAAGGAATTAGGGATGATTACTGGGGATCATGACAGCCAACTTCAAATATTTGAAGGTGCACTCCTTGAAAGGGGGAAGAAAAAAGCCTAATGGGAAGAAACTCCAAGAAGAAAATTTTGCCTCAATATAAATAAAGTAGATTCTAAGAAAGCCTTCTGAAATTGGGGCAAGTGTTTGGCACAGTAGGTCGCACACCTCCAGGCTTCAATCTGACCCAGTCCTGTCGGTGCTGGCATTTGGGTGTGTGGACCAGTGGATGGCAGACTTTATCTCTCTCTCTCTCTCTCAAATAAAATGAAGATTGAATTTTTTAAAGCTTTCTGAAGTTATAGCAAGCTGCCATAGGAGTAAAGAGTTCTTCAATGTCCTGGCTTGTATGCTGCTGTCATAGAATACTACAGACTGAGTCATTAGTAGAGAAAAGAAATTCATTTCTCACCTTTGTGGAGTCTGGGAGGTCCACTGGCATCTGGAGAGGGTGTTCATGCTCCATATACTATGGCAGAAGATGGAAGGGCAAGTGAGCCTGCAAGGCAGACGGAGGACGGGATCAATTTATCCTTTTATCAGGAGTTCCTTTCTGTGCTACTTAACCCACTCCTGTGAAAATAGCTGTAATCCCTTCATAAGGACCGAGCCCTTATGACCTCCCCAAGTTCTTTAAGGTCCCGCCTCTTTAGAACCATCACCATGGCAATTAAATTCCAAGGTAAGTTTTGAAGGGGACATTCAAACCTTAGCAAGGGTGTTCAAGTTAGAGGAGACCTTGATAAATAAAAGAAACTTTGTAGGTAAGTAATGGGTCCATCACATGGATTGTAGAGAAGATTTAAGCATACAGATGTTGTCTGATAAAAATGGGCCCTCAAAATAAACCTAGTAAATAGATGAATTAGTCAAGCTGGAAACAATATCCAAATGATGCCTTGTAATTCTCCAACTCTTGGGAGATCAGACTCATGTGTGTTTCAGTGACAGGGAGGAAAGATAATTTTGGTTTCAAGTGGGACATAGGCTAATTAGGGAGGCAGAGGAGGGACACTAGGCTAGGGTGGGGGTGGCAGAGTGGCCAGAGGAGTATGTGGTATGAGCATGATTGTGCAGAAGAGTCCCTACAGTCAAGTCATCGGTTGCTACTTCTATTGAATCACCCTGAGCTAATTATTGCACAGTTTCTTTAAAAACATTAGGAAAGTACACCTGTGTGTTCAGAGAAAATCACTGTCAGAGGACAGAAGACAGGCAGCCTCAGGCAATCAGCCATCTGGGACAAGCAACAAATCATTCTGGCAAACAACATATCATCCCCAGTAAAGAAAACCAAATTTTTTGTTTAAATTTTTTTGAATGAATTTGAGTTTTATTGCCCAATACTGACCCGTGCTCCGGAAGCCACAGTCAGCTGGTGGGTGTGTTTTGCCTGGTTCTCCAACATCCTTCATTACAGATGCTGCTAGGAGTTATTTTTGGCTACTTAGAGTTGCTTCATCAGAGAATAGTAATTGGGGAAGGCTTGTGGTACAGAAATTGTCACCCACTTGGGACTCTTGCACACGGAAGTCCCAGCTCCTTTGCTTCAGATCCAGCTTCCTAATGGTATGCACCCTGGGAAGCAGTGATGAGAGCTCAGTTACCTGGACCCCTGCCACCTGCATGAGAGACCCAGATTGAGTTCCAGGCTCTTGACTTCTGCCTGGCCCAATCCTGGCTGTTGCTGGTATTTCAGATCTGTCTTTCAAGTAAAGTAAAACTTTTTTGTCAAGAGAGATTAATAATCACAGGAGCTGAAAAGACCTTGTAAGATCGTGGTGCGCCGGTCGCAGCGCACCGGCCCCGGAGGCCATTGGAGGGTGAACCAATGGCAAAGGAAGACCTTTCTCTCTGTCTCTCTCTCACTGTCCACTCTGCCTGTCAAAAAAAAATCACATAGTCTCAACTTTTACTTTTTAACTGTTAGAAAAAATGATGCTGATGAAGACTCCGAGAATGAAATCAGTGTCTAGAAGCGATATCTATATCTGCACGTGCATTTTCATTGCTTTATTATTCATGGTGGCTGAGATAGAGAAGCAACCTGTGTCCATGATAAATGAAGGAATAAAGAAACTAATTACTGTATACACAATGGCATATTATCCAGCCATTAAAAAAAGGAACTGCCTGTGACGTCTGTGTCCCAGATGGGCATCAGTTTGTGTCCTGGCTGCTTCCCTTCTGATCCAGCTCCCTGCTAATGGCGCAGGAAAGCACTGGAAGATAGTCCAGCTACTTAGACCCCTGCAGACATGTGGGAGACCAGGAAGAAGCTCTGGCTCCTGGTTGAGCGCAGGCCATTAATGGCCATTTCGGGAATCAACCAATGGACATAAGTGCGCTCTCTCTCTCTCTCTCTCTCTAACTTTGTAACTTTGACTTTCAAAATAGATACATCTTTTTAAAAAATAAGAACTTCTGGCATTCTGCCTAAATGAACCTGGTGGAGGGTGCTGGAGGGAATTATGTGAAGTAAAATAATCCATTGCTTGATCTCACTAGTGAGTGGAGTCTTAAAACATCAAACCACAGAAACCAAGTGCAGAAAGGTGATTGGGTCTTGAGGGGTGGGGAAAATGGAGACATGTTGATTGAAGGATGCCAACTTTCATTTATAAGATGAACAAGTTCTGGGGCTCAAATATACAACGTGGGTGATAATGGAAATGTGAATTTATTGTGACAATTGTTATACAATATATCAAACCATTATGTTGTACACCTTGAATATATATAATTTTTGTCAATTAATGTTTTAAAATAATAGATATAAAAAGTAAGGAATCAGGAGTTACTCTTGGCCACACAGGAAGCTGGTGGCATCAACACAGGGAACAGCTAATCCTTGTTACAACAGGGTTAAGTTCTCAGTGTAAGAACAGAACTTTAGAAATGAGAGGTAATCTAATCTCCCCAACACTGTTATGAAGTCGATACTAGTATCCCCTCGCGTGACTGTAAAAGGCAGGAAGCAAAGACTAAAGCCCAGGCAGCCTGTGCTAGAGAAGTCACATGTATTTTGAAGAAGATAAATTTATGTTGCAATTCTTGCATCAACACTTATCAGCCGCTAGATCTTGGACAGTTGACCAAGCGTCTCAAAGCTTCAGCCCCCTGATCTATAAAAGAGTGTGGTAACTTCTATGAAGGATGATTGTAAAGGTTAATTGAAGTTACATGGGTCTTGTAGCACAGTGCCCAGCTCTTAGCAAATAATCAGTAAATAGCTGTTATTAACATTTTATTATTTTTATATCTCAGCTCTCGAGACTCTAGGGATTTCCATTAAACTATTTATCTTATTATCAAATATCTCCCAAACACAGCTATAGGCATAATGCTTATAAAGTCTTGAAATGTATATGTATTCACACACATACACACACACACACACAATTAGAACTGCATTAGGATAAAAAAATATTCCTCTCCAACATTGTTGAAATTTTTAGTCTTTATTTGTCCTTTTTTCAAAACATCATTAGTGTATATATAGTTTCCATACTTGAAAATATTTTAATTATTTATTTGCTGGTTTACTCCCCAAATACCCAGAAAGATAGGGGCTAGTCCAGGTCAAAGCCAGGAACCTGGAACTCAACCCAACATGGAAGGCGGGGACCCAACAACTTGAACCATCCCCTGCTGCCTCCAGGTGGTGCATTAGCAGGAAGCTGGAATCGGAAAGCACAGGAGGGAATCAAACTCAGGCACTCTGACATGACAGGCAGATGACCCAACTGACAGCCTAAACTGTAAGCCAATTGCCTGTGTCCAGTTTCCATACATTTTAAGCCTGCTTTCTTTCTCTCTAATGCTCATAACTGAATGCAGCCCCTTTGGGTGCCTCTTTCCTCACTGTTACCCATTCCTTTCATATATATATGAATATCATAGATATGATGCATATATGATATATATGTATCATATATTTATCATATATGTTTTATATTAATATATATGATACATATATAATTTAATATATAAAATATATAAATATATAATTTATATATAAAATTTATATATAAGTATATATATAAAATTATACTCCACTATCTCAGGCCTCCCAATGTGGAAAGTAAATATGTGATCAAAACATTTCTGGGTCTACAGGTTTCTTAGAAACCACGTGGTGTGAGCATCCTTCAGGGAGGGTGTGGACAAGGAGTGACTTTCAGTCCTACTCCAAGTATCTGGTATCACAGTATCTGCCAGCACAACAAAGTGGTGCACCTGCTCTCACATTTTTCATCTTTTCTGAATAGCCAGTAATTTTGTCTCGATCTGTCAAAACCAACAACTGTCTAGATGTTAAGATCTTAGCCTATGGGAAACGAAAAACAGTGCATTTGGATATGGAATTCTCTATTGTGATTGTTTTCCAGGTAAGCTAAAGTGGATTAAGAATAGCAACATCTCCCTGGAGTGGGGTGTCCTAAGATGTGGGTGACTTAGAATTCCTGTAGATTCTGAATTGCATCAAGGTTGTGACCATACCCCCAAAGTTATCCAACGTAGATAAGTTTCTGCTATTAGAGCGTTTTGCAAAGGTTAGGATAGAAGCCGGTTTAAGGAGAGCTCGGAAGTAGAGGTGGTGGGACTGGGAGGTGAGTAATCGTTGGAAGACACCTGGAAAGTGACTTTAGATTTGAAGTTTCTGAGGAGGAAGATAACTCACTGTGTACAGTTACTCTCTTCCTTTTAACTGTATAATGGGATGATGTTCAGGACTGATTGCTTTACACTACTTCTTACACAGAAGAATCAGTAGGCCAGCCAACCACTCTTCAGCCCCGGTTCACAGAAGACTGCAGGCATGAATTAACAGGCCACAGTTTTGTCTTCCCAGATGTAAAGCTTCAATTCACTGGTTCACTCAATGCTTCAACAAATATCTTAGTGCACATACTACAACCCACCAAAAAGATGGATTGCGAAGATTAAACCTGGATGCTTGGCCTGGAAAAGGGATATTTTTCTGTGTCAGGCCTTGTGTAATTAGGAGCACTGTGGTCTTGTTAAGAAGCCATCCTTTTCAAAAGAGGAAGGAGACTGAACATCTACCTGTGCTATAAGAGGCCCAGGGAGTGGGGCAGTGGACAGGGGGCCTGGGGAAGGTAACATCATAGGCTGAGTCGATAGAGGGAGCGCACTTGCCTGATGAGAGGGAAACCCTAGGTGGGGATGAAATATTCAGCTCCTATTCACTTAGAAACAAAAAGTGCAAGATTGTATAGAGAATTCAAGATCGTTGTGAACGTAAAAGTGGATAAAGTATAAATGAATATAGTCAGGCCAGAAGAATCAGTTTTAGAAGTCATATGGGAGAATGCTATATGGTTAATAAGAATGTAAAGTTATATTCATTGTTTCATCAGCATAAAACATTATAAGAAGAAATAGTTGTGAAACAGTAGTGTTATGATTCTAAAGTGTAAGAGAAAATATGTGTGAATAGACAAAGCGTGGTGTTAGCATGTTATTAGTGGTTTTCATTGCGTGGGGAGACATTATGGGTGTCTTAATTTCTTCTTCATGTCTGTTTGTATTTTTGTAATACACACATGTTGCTTCTATTTGAAAAAAATTTTTATTAAGAGGGATGGAGGTGGGGAAAGAAAGAGAGCAAGAGAGTGTCTGCCTACCCATTTGTTCCATCTGCTGGTTTCCTTCTCAAGCACTTAACAACTAGTCTAGGGTAGGGCCAGACATTCAGTCCTGGTCTCCTACGTGGGTGGGAAGGACCCAGTTACTTGAGCCATCAGGTGCTGGCTCCCAGGGTCTACATTAGCAGGAAGCTGGAGTCTGGAGTTATCACTGGGAATCAAACCCAAGCCTTCCAGTGTGGAACATGAGTGTCTTAATCAGATCTTAACTGCTGGGCCAAATGCCCACCCCTACATTTTTTTGAAAAAAAAAATGCTTTTGAAGAGGGTAACCTGAAAAGAATGAATTTAGTCAGTGACTCTAAGCTAAAAGTAGGAAGCAGTTGATAGCAGTTAGCATTTGGTCACTGAAGACAGGAGTTATTTTGGTTTCACTCACAACAGATGTTTGTAGAACAGGGTGTCCCAGACTTTTCCCCAGTCAGATCTGCTGACTTTATGCTTTGCTCCTTCACTGGAGTCTGCTGTAGCCATGAAGAAAACCAAAGCGGAAAAGGAATTTAGCTTCTCCAGTTCTGTGAGACCTAGGGCCTGGTATGGCTGCCAGCACTGGCTCTAGGTCGTTCCAGCTCCCACATGCCTGAGCCTGGAGCATCTTGCAACATCCTTGCTTGCCAGCTACACCAGGCTTTCTCCCACCACGGTTTAAACAACACTGACAGTGGAGAGGAAGGGGGAAGGCAGAGCAGGTACTGTTTGAAGAGCACAGCCTCGAGGCTATTTTAGTCTGAACAGGGTTTGCTGAGTACCTGCAAACACCTGCCAAATTCTGGGGGCCAGAAATTCTCCACAGCTTAACACAAGGCATTGCTATAGGGACTGTCTTTTATAGTCCTAAGCCTGAGTGATCAAGAAAAGTTCTCACCATGAAAGTCACTACTAACAGGGGTTGGCACTGTGGCATAGGAGGTAAAGCTGCCACCTACAATGCTGACATCCCTTATAGGCGCCGGTTTGAGTCCCAGCTGCTCCACTTCTGATCCAGATCTTTGCTATGGCCCGAAAAAGCAGTAGAAGATGGCCCAAGTGCTACAGCCTCTATACCCACATGGGAGACCCAGAAGAAACTCCTGGCCCCTGGCTTTGGATTGGCTCAGCTCCAGCCATTGCAACCATTTAGGGAGTGAACCAGCAGATGCAAGATCTCTCTCTCTCCCTCTCTCTGTCTTTCCTTCTCTCTTTCTTTAACTTTGCCTTTCAAATAAGTAAATAAATCATTTTTTTAAAAAAAGTTACTAATAATATTAGTGCACCAAAAACTTCCCATTTTTTTGTTAGAATGATTCTCAGGGCTGTAAGTATTTATATTTTTGTAGTTTATGTATGATCTCTTTACAAGGGCCTGGAGCCATGGAATACCCTTTTTAGTATGTTTCATGTAGAAGAGTTATTTTTTCCTTTGTCGCTTAAAGGTGAACCGTCCCAGCAACTTGCAGTACTGAGGGCTTCCATTGGTTTTCTCCTCTGCTTCTCACTCTTTTGTGATGCTAGAGAGGACCTTAGCTACAGTCACAGCGTAGAGTGCTCCAGGTACTGAGTTCGGAGGGCCCTCTCGCCAACCCCAGCACCCAGGGGTCATGACTTCATCCACCCTCCCCTTTGCTGTCCTTTCCCCGCTTCCCTTCCAGAAACAACCACAGTGCCAGTGCCAGCACTGGTTCACTCCCTAAATGCCCACAACAGCTAGGGCTGGGACATAGCCAAATCTGGGAACTGGGAACCCAATCTAGTCCTCCTATGTGGGTGATGTGAGCCATCACTGTTGCCTCCCAGGATCTGCATCAGCAGGAAACTGGAGTCAGGAGCCAAGAATCAAACCCAGTCACTCTGATATGGTAGGCAGGTATCTTAACCACTAGGCCAAACACCTACTCTAGCTGTTAATTTCTCTATGTGGTTTTGTGTCCCACAGCTCCGTGCCTTGTTCACTTGTGTATCTCCAGCATCATCCCAGCTGCCATGGATGGAAATGAGCTACATGTTTAATTCCCATGCCATACTATCTCGTGCACAGAGATGTTTGAAGAAACAGAAAATGGTTGAATTCAGTTCAATTCAGGAGACTTTTCTCTGCACCAGCAAGAAAAACAGGTAGTCAGATACAAATAAAGCCAGCAGATTTAGAGACACCCCAGGATGCTGTAACCCCAACACCAGGTAGCTGAGCCCACATACTCTGTTGGCAAATAAGACACTTCCAAAGCAGTCCTGGGAGACTCTGAACCTGTGCTTAGAAGCCTCCCAGTGTCAAGGAAGAGGCAGAGGAGAGTCCAATTAAACGGAGCCTCTGTCTTCCAGTCCAATGGGTAACTTGTGTTCTTTGCACTGATGGGGAAGCCGGCAAGAAACAGAGGTGTAGAGACTCCCAGATCAGTGAGCTTTTACCCTGGGAATCTATCATACTGCCTTGTAGTAACTTTCTCAGGGCTGATGAAAGACAACTTTGTCTCCATGGGTCCCTGGTCATCCCATCATGTAAACAGAATGAAGAATCTCTAGCTGTGTAGGTTCAAGGCCCTCCTCCATTTGTATACCCTAGATTCGGCCACCTGTTCCCCCAGCCTGTACTTTCTGTCTCCGTGCCTCAGGGCACCCTGGAAATGCCCTTACTCCATGTGTTTCCTTTCTTCCTTTCTGCATAAGCCCACGGCTTACCGATAGGTCAAGGTCATCGACAATGCTGTCTGCCTTTCCCAAACAGGCCAGTCATAGGACACAGCCATATCCACACTCCTGGCTCCAGGGAGTCCCACCTATAACCCTGCTTTGGAAAGAAGCTGCCTGAGCAGTCACTTAACTGCAGCTCCCAGCCTGGTCGCTTGTGACCTCCTCCTCCTCGGCCACTGCTAGCTGGGCAGGGTACAGCACAGATCCACAGAGCTTTTTTGTTTTTTAAAGATATACTTATTTTGTCAAAAGGCAGAATGACAGGGAAAGAGAGAGAGAGAGAGAGAGAGAGAGGGAGATCTTAGATCTTAGATCACTTGCTCACTCCGCAAATGCCTGCAACAACCAGGATAAGGCCAGGCCAAAGCCAGGAGCCCAGAACTCCATCTGGGTCTCCCATGTGGATGGCAGGAATCCACGCACTTGGGCCATCCTCCATTGCTTTCCCAGGTGCCTTGACAAGAAGCTGCATCAGAAATGGAATAGCCCCAGGACTCGAACCTGGACTCCAATATGGAATGTGCGTTGCTACGGCACAGTGCCTGCCCCCTGCAGATCTTGAGGTGAGCATATGAGAGCTCTGTCCACCAAGGATCTGACCCCACTGGGCCGCTCCTGTTCTTCCTGAGCAATGTCGATGAGAGCCAGAGAAAGAGCTGCCCAATTGGGCGAAGGCAGGCAAACAAAAGGCAGGGTTAAGCCAGGCTTGCAGGATGTGTGCAGGGAAGGGTGAGAGAGAATCAGCTGATAGTAGCAGGAAGGAAGCCACCAGAGCAATTATCCTGGTCTTGCACATCCTAAACTCCTTCCTCTCCCAGCCTGCCTCGCTGAACCTGCGGCCCCCATGGAGGACCAGCTACATATTTTCCAGCGGAAAATGAAAATGTAAGCATTCTTGTCCAAAAGTGGAGAATTTCAAGACCAGCAGTCTTACTATGAAATAAGCCCTGTGCATCTATTCCTCGCAACAACAGCAGTTTGACTAAAACACTCCTCCACTAGGCCTTGCTCTCCTTCCTTTGTAAATATGCTGACTTTGAAATGGGGGTGATGTGTGGTTTCTCTTTAGCTCCCTTGGTATATTATTCACAACCTGAGACCCTTAGCACTTTTTAAATTTTTTTTTGACAGTCAGAGTAGAGAGTGAGAGAGAGAGACAGAGAGAAAAGTCTTCCTTTTCCATTGGTTCACCCCACAAAGGCCGCTGCGGCTGGCGCACCGTGCTGATCTGAAGCCAGGAGCCAGGTGCTTCTCCTGGTCTCCCATGGGGTGCAGAGCCCAAGCACTTGTGCCATCCTCCACGGCCCTCCCGGGCCACAGCAGAGAGCTGGACTGGAAGAGGAGCGACTGGGACAGAATCCGGCGCCCCGACCGGGACTAGAACCTGGGGTGCTGGCGCCGCAGGCAGAGGATTAGCCTATTAAGCCGCCGCATGGGCCTTCTTAGCACTTTCTGCAATGCTGTGGTAATTCATGAGACTCCTGTCCACTTTCCCTGCCTAAGGACCAAGTTATTTTAAACATTTTTTAAAAAAATAATTATTTATAGGCAGAGTACTCCCACCTTCTGTTCACTTTCCAAATGCCTGCAAAGGTCAAGGCCAAGGCTGGACCATGCCAAAACCAGGAGTCCAGAACTCAATCCAGGTCTCCCGTGTGGTTGGCAGGGACCCAACTACTTGAACCCTCACCTGCTGCCTCCCAGGGTGCACATTAGCAGGAAGCTGGGATCAGGAGCACGGCCAGGACTCAAACCCAACCACTCCAACACGGAATGTGGGTGTCCCAGTTGGCATTGTAACCACTAGGCCCAATGCCTGCCCTCTGAGTCACTTCAAAAGCATGCTAGTCTGAGTCTGATTCGTCTCTATCCTCACAATCTATTTAGGGGGGGTACTTAAAAAAGCTCATGGAAAATTGAATTTAAAGCATGTTATATTGGTGCAATTTTTTTTAATCTGTGCATGTTTTTTTTTTCCATGATGCCCATTTTCCATGTACTATAAAAAGTTTTTGACCTTGCTTTGTTACGTCAAGTAACTAGCAAAGGAATCATATTCTTTCCTCTGTTAAAACAGCTTCCTGATAGTAATTAGCTACATGACAAAGGATCAGACTGACCCACCCAGGTCTTGGGATAATTCCTTGCACAAAAGATGCCCCCAGAGTTCTTAGAATTACTGTGGCAGGGCATGTCTGTCTGTCCTGGTATGGAACAACTAATCATCATTCCCGTGATCACAGAATCGCTGCTCATAGACACAGGCTTTCACAGCTCTCGAGCGGGAAAAGTAGCCTGATTCGTTACATCACATTTCTTCAACGCTCAGCTCTGTGTCAGGAACTGTGCGAAAGTACTTTGCCTATGTGATCTTCCTTAATTTGATCCTCATCACAAACACAATACAGGAGGTACCATTGTGCCCACTGGCAATAAAAAGAAGCAAGTCTTAGCTGACCTCACCAAGGCGATAAAAATAGCACCAGCACAGCCAAGTTCGTTTGATGCTGGGGCCAGTGCTCTTAGCCTCACTGTCTATTGCCTCATCAATGTGGACTTTTCCCAAACCTACAGAAAATTGTGTCTTCTGCTTCCCTTCCTCCCTCCCTCCCTGAGAACTTTCTACAGCTCTTTGGGGACTGCTACTTCCCACACAGAGACCCATTGCTGGCCCTCGTCCCCAACACTCCTGTAATTCAAAATGAAAACCTCCCTGCTAACCACTGCAGAGGGGCTGGCATTGTGGCCCGGGTGGGAGGGGGAGGGTTTAAGCTGCTGCTTGTGACGCCAGCATCCTGTATCCTCTCCCTCATTTTAGGCCTGGCTTGAGCTCCTGCTAGTGGGTCTGGGAAGGAAGAAAAAGGTGGTCCAAGTAGTTGGATCCCTGCCACCCACGTGGGAGCCCAGGATGGAGTTCCTGGCTCTGGGATTCAGCCTGCTCAGCCCCGGCTATTGCAGCCATTTTGAGAGTGAACCAGCAGATGTCTGTCTCTCTCTCTGCATTTCAAATAAAACAAATAAATCTTTAAAAATAAATACACCCAGTAAGGATTCCCAGTGTTTGAGTTAGTACTCAACTAACTAACTAAGAGTTAGTACTCTTAGTAGAGTCCTGAATCAATATTTAATCTGGGCCGGTGCCGCGGCTCGTAGGCTAATCCTCTGCTTTGCGGCGTCGGCACACCAGGTTCTAGTCCCGGTCGGGGCACCGGATTCTGTCCCGGTTGCCCCTCTTCCAGGCCAGCTCTCTGCTATGGCCAGGGAGTGCAGTGGAGGATGGCTCAAGTGTTTGGGCCCTGCACCCCATGGGAGACCAGGATAAGCACCTGGCTCCTGCCTTAGGATGGGCGCGGTGCGCCGGCTGCAGCGCGCCAGCCGCAGGGGCCCTTGGAGGGTGAACCAACAGCAAAGGAAGACTTTTCTCTCTCTCTCTCTCTCGCTGTCCACTCTGCCTGTCAAAAAAATATATATATTTCATCTGAAGCCTGATGCATCTAAATCTTCTCTAGAAGGACGAGCATTGTGGCACAGCTGGTTAAGCTGCTGCCTGTGATGCTGGCATCTGTACGGGCACTGGTTCAAGTCCTGGCAGTTCCACTTCTGATCCACCTCCTACTAATGTGCCTAGGAAGGTAGCAGAAGAAGACTCGAGTACATGGGCCCCTGTCACCCATATGGGAGATCCAGATGGAGCTCCACGCTCCTGGTTTCAGATTGACTCAGCCTCCGGCTGTTGTATCCATCTGGGGAGTGAACCAGTAGATAGAAGATGAATCACTCTCTCTCTCTCTCTGCCTTTCAAATAAATGAACCTTAAAAAAAACGCTTCTCTACAGTAGTAATCTTAAAGGGAGTGAAAGATAGCACCTCAGCCATTCAAAAGGAAGTTTTCTTCATCTTACATTTTTATTCATAAAATCCATGAACATTTTGCATTATTCTCCATATAGTGTTGTTGATGTGAAAATATTATTTTAAGTTACTCTCTTCAAAGCAGCAGAAGATGGCTCAAGTGTTTGAGCCCCTGCTACCCTCGTGGGAGACTTGGAGGAAGCTCCTGGCTCCTAGGTGGGTTGTGACCATCTGGGGAGTGAATCAGAAGATGGAAGATCTCTCTCTCTCCCTTTCTTCTTCTCTCCCTCTCTCTCTCCCTCTCTCCTCTCACTCTCTGTAACTCTGACTTTCAAATAAATAAATAATTCTTTAGAAGTAATAAGTGAGGGGCTGTCACTGTGGCGTAGTAGGTTATGCCTCTGCCTGTGGTGCTGGTATCCCATACAATGCTGCTTTGAGTTCCAGCTTCTGCTCTTCTGATCTTACATCATGCTAATGTCCCTGGGAAAGCAGTGGAAGATGGCCCAAGAGCTTGGGCCCCTCCACCCACATGGCACACCTGGTAGAAGCTTCTGGTTCCTGGCTTCAGATCAGCCCAGCTCTGGCCATTGTGGCCATTTGGGGAGTGAACCAGCAGATGGAGGACCTCTCTTTTTGTCTCTCCCTCTCTCTGTCTGTAACTCCACCTCTAAAATAAATAAATAACTCTTAAAAAGTACGAAGTTAATAAAATGTTAAAGGATGGCCAGCTGTGGTGCAAAGGGTTCAGATGCTGCTTGTGATGCCAGAATCCTTT